CACTCACAAATCAATCTGCTGTTCAAGTAACTTAAACATTCAGTTGATCAATGCAAGAGTTATCAAATATAACAAAGGTTTTCACTTACGTTGTTATTCCTTGGCATTCTTATGAATAAAAGCTTTGGCTGAAGATTTTCTCCAAATTAAGGTTAAGCAAGAGCTATTTGGTAAGAATTTCTAATCTATCTGCAATAGATCACCATACCTAGCAATGCAGAAGTTTCATTTGATTACAAACCAAATTGCCAGGACTGTGATTTTTAATTTAAGTCTTTGTCATCTTGAGCAAAGCATCCTAAAAGGACCTTCCATTGCAACATACAGATTTATAAACAGGGATCAAAAGTTCTGATCTTCAAATGAATCCCATTAGATACGGAATGAAATATTTACTCATTACGAACAACATGCAGGTATATACCTCCCTCATATAGAAAGTCTCAAAGAGAGGTGCACAGAGGTGCTATTTAAGGTCTCCCCCCACCAAAGACACTCTGTGAACTGACCTCTTCGTATTTCACCCACTGATCCTTTGGAAGGATCTGGTGTTTCAGACTCAAGTCAAGTGCTCTCTTCATGCGAAATATTCTCTCGTTGTAAACGGGTTCCGGAAGCCTCCTCAGAGCTTCTTTTACATCATCATCTTCATACAACACATCATCTCGCATCAACCCTGTAGCAGCAAGATTTTACAGCATCACTAAATAAACACTACTAATTAACATTTAAGCTTAACACGAGTGTTTTAATGCAACATTGGAATAACACTAAAAATACAACAACAGACCAATTCAAAAGAGAATCACTACTTGCTCACAGAGAATAAGCTGACTTGCACACACATTGCTTACTTCATGTTGTACTCTTTTAAAAATGAGCAAGAAAAAGTGTGTATTTGTTTCAGTGTGTTACATAGCAGTAATCTAGCCTGGGTATGAAGGGTGCACTTACGCTGACCAAAGTTAGACCCCTGTGTTTAAGGTGACTGCCTAGGTTAAGGAATTAGAAGCATTCATTACACTGCAGTCACCTAAGTAGCTGTGACTACTTTAGCATCAAGGATCTATTCTCTGAACCCCACTCTGCAGACTGACAAGATCTCCACCAGGTATAACCAGCTATAGAGGCCTGAAGTCAGATATTTTGGACCAAGTTTGTTTTCCTATCAAAATACAGTTACTCTGGGAAGAAAAAAAA